TTTCATAAGGAAAGAAGTATAGAAGCAATAATTGAATGCATCACTATTAGGGGGCTCATTGGGTAAAATCCTTTGAGAGTTCCCTTCTCTTAATAGAAGACATCATCAGAAAATGGAAGGAGGTGGTGGGGACTTACTTATGAAAAATGTTGATGTACAGAAGTTAGGGCTCTCCCAGATAAATGATTCATAGGCTTAATTTTGACAGAGGAAGCATGGGAAACTCACGGTCATCAGAGATGGGATGTATTTTCAGGAATGAGGAAGGCCATACAGTGGCTCTGTTGACTGATAGGCTTAGGAGACTCTCCAAGGGATGAGATCATGATTATCATGGAAGGTTTGCAAAGGGCAATGATGGACACATTAATTATTGAAGGAGATTAAAAAATGGTAATTGAGTGGTTGTAGAATGGAGAGGCATCTCTATGGTCTTACAATGAAATAGAAAAATTCATATGACTGACTAGAGATATGGAAGTGAGATATCAATGGTACTGTTGTCAAGGGTGTTTTTGTGTATGTTCATGGCACTAGGGGTTTTTCTGTGATTAGTCTTATTTCGAGGGACTACTCTGATTATTATTATTGTTAATATATTAGGGTGAAGTGGGTGCAGCCACTAACCCAGTTCGACTTCTATTTTCTCTTCTTCTTCCTTCCTCTCCTCTCTTGATTATTCCATAACTGGTTACATGGTATTAGAGCAATAATCTGTCATAGAATAATCAAGCTTTTGTCTTCTTCTCAGTCTGTATTCTACACCCAGTCACCCACTGGCTCGAATAAGTTAGAAAGCACACATGCAGCCTCCTGTTCTGATTGGCACATTCAAAGGTTACTCCTTTTCTGTTTCTTGGTCCTCTTGGTCGTAGGACCAAGAATTCTCTCTGTTTCTGGGCTGATGCTTGTGTAGCTGAAGCATGTAAGAGAGCTACAGAAGATACAAAGTGTTTTCCTTACTTAGTTTTGGGTCGGACTGTGTTTAAAGGGTGGTTGATGGCTGGTATGCCCAAGAAAGGTACTAGTATTTTACTGGAAGGTGTTTTTTGGTAGAAGGAAGTTTTTGTTAGTGATCAACTTGAAGTTTTCTTGTTGGCCAAGTCCAACTGAAGTGCAGCAACCATTGTCTAACTCTCACAAGGCAAATCTTAATGCCAAGTCACCCTTTAGGTACTTCGGAACTGTCATCTTGTGATATTGATCTTCCGATTGCTCTTTGTAAGGGTGTATGGGCGTGTACCAAGCACCCTATTGTTCATTTTTCTTCCACTGCTCATTTGCCTCCTAAGTATCGTGTTTTTATTTCTTTTATTTGTAGTGTGCCTATTCCTAAGTGTGTTACAGAGGCATTGGAATTACCTAAATGGAAAAATGCTATGTGTGAGGAAATTTCTGCCCTTCATAAAATCACACGTGGGACCTTGTTGACCTTCCAAAAGGAAAGAAACCTGTTGGTTGTAAGTGGGTGTTTACAGTAAATCATCATGCTGATGGGTCTATTGAGAGGTATAAGGAGAGACTAGTTGCTAAAGGGTTCTCTTAGACACATGGTGTGGCCTATAATGAAACTTTTGCACCTGTTGTGAAGAAAAGGTGGGCTGTTTGCTATTTTGATTGTGTATGTGGATGATATTATAATCACAGAAGCTAGGAGGAAGAGATTCAAGAACTGAAGAATTTCCTAGCTTCACAATTTGAAGCAAGGTTCAAAATATCGATATAGCTCGATACGCTGGTAGGGTGTATTGGACTGTATTGGGGGCTCGCTCCCCTTTTTTTAGTTTTTTTTTAAACTTGGTTCAGAGGGGTTGGTTTAAGGCCTGTCTACCCCCCGAACCGGATTATACCCCGAAACACCCTCTGTAGGGGTGTATCGGGAATCCCCTGATACGATACGTATTGGCCGATACAACCTGATATGTATCGAAATTTCAAACCTTGGTTTGAAGTTAAAGATTTCGGTCCTTTGAAATATTTTCTTGGCATTGAAGTTGCTTGATCTGACAAGGGTATCTTTATCTCCCAACGGAAGTATATTCTTGATCTGTTGACTCTCCCATGGATCCAAGTCATAAACTTGGAAGTTGTGAGGAGATAGTTTCAGATGTTCATCAATATCAAACTCATTGGAAGGTTGTTATTATCTTTCCATGACAAGTGTTCTGAATCGGTATATGCACTCACCTAAACCTGCTCATTTCAAGGCTGCTCAGAGTTCTAGCCTATCTAAAAAGACACCTGGGTAGGGGTCTCCTCTTCACTAAACATGGTCATATGATGGTGGAAAGATACACAGATGCTAACTGGGCTGGCTCTATTGATGATAGGAGATCTACTACTGGTTACTGTACCTTTGTGGGAGGAAATCTTATCACTTGGAGAAGTAAGAAACAGTTTGTAGTGGCAAAGTGCAGAAGCCGAGTATAGAGATATGTCTCAGGGTATTGTTGAATTGTTATGGTTAAAAAACCTCCTTACCGAGCTAGGTATGTGGAAGTCAGATGCTATGTCATTGTACTGTGATAACAAGGCTGGCTATTAGTATTGCTCATAACTTGGTTCTCCATGAGCGAACCAAGCACATTGAAATTGACAAGCACTTTGTTTGGGAAAAAGTGGAAAGGGTGAAATTTGTATACTGTTTGTTGAATCAAGAGATCAAGTGGCTGATGTATTTACAAAAGGATTGAATTCCATGCACCATGAAGAGCTATGTATCAAGTTGGGTATGCATGATATCTACAACCCAACTTGAGGGGAAGTGTTGTCAAGGGTGTTTTTTGAATATGTTCATGGCGCTAGGGGTTTTTCTGTAATTAGACTTATTTTGAGGGACTACTCTTTAATTATTATTAGTTAATATATATGGTGAAGTGGGTGCAGCCACTAACGTAGTTCAACTTCTTCTATTTTTTTCTCTTCTTCTTCCTTCCTCTCTTCTCTCTTGATTATTCCATGACTGATTACAAGTACAAAGGGCAACAAACAAAATGGCTGATGCCTTAGCTAAACAAGGGGTGGGGTGAGATCAAATTTTCTACGCACAGTTGTAAGGAAAAGAGTAGCGAGGAAATAAAACTTTTTTCTCTCTGGTGGGTGAATGTATATTTTGTACACTAAAATTTACTATTTTGGTTATAGTTCAATAAAAAAATATCTACGTGGGTGCTTGGTCTAATTTCTAATATTATTACTATGGTACATCTTACTAATATGTGTATTAATGCAATTTATTATATAATATATGTTTATATTTCATTTTGAAGTTTCACTATCGAAACTTAAAAAATCCAAGGATTTTTGAGAAGAGAAAAAGAAAGAAGGGAAGGATAAAGATATTTCTTTTTCATTTAATTTTTCTATTCTCTCTCTTACACATTAAATAAAACAATGGTTCAACTTTTGTTCTTTTTTCTCTTTGATTTTCTATTTTAAATTTCTAGAATATAAAATTGTATTCTTATTTAGTTGCTAACTTCATATGAAATTGCTCTATTTAAATATTTATTTTATTAGTATTAATTCTTGAAAACATTAAAATTTGTTATTTGTTTGCACCAATATTTTAAAATATAGAGGTGTGATGTGAGTCATTCTACCATCCTAAGGCAGGAGTTATAAACCAGAATACAAGAGGCATGAGCCTCCCAAGTCAATTAATAATTAATTAAAATAAGATAAAATACATGAAAAAAAAGTAGTAAATATCCCATAAAAAAAAGAAAAATTATGAGAAATTAAAAAACATCATAATTGTGATTTCTAATAATAAAGCCATCACATTTAAATATAGAATTAAAGTATCATCGTCTAATTTAGTGTCATCAACCATCAATATATTATTTACAAAGTTGGGAGAGATTGTATTGGGTACAGTTATGACATATTCTCCTATAAAGTCAGGTGGTTTGTCGCCCAAAATTGGGTTGTCCAACACACACACACATATGTATGTATGTATGACACTTCAATAAACAGGTGGATTGCCAAAAAGAACATAAGGGAAATCTCACTGAAACCCACCCCAGAAATTTTTACTTCACCATACATTCACAAGAATTTAAAACTTCCAACATCCCCACTTATCACACCATACCCCCTTCGTATTGGCTTCAATTCCCCCATTCCCATTGTCACTGTTCCCAACTGTATGATGAAGTAAAAAATTGTGAGGTGGGGGTAAATGAGGATTCCCCAAGAACATAAACAAGTATTTCATCTCATGTTCAAATGAATGTAATGCATTAATCGAAATCAAAGCTATGGTCCTCCCACTTCTACATATAACATTTATTATAATATTACAATAAACAAATTTGGAGTGTTTCTATCCTCTGTTTCATGTTAATATGTTAATGGGAACATGATAAAATAGTTCCTCCACTTTTATTATTTTATTATAGAAAATTTACTAAAGTAAAAGCATTTGAGGCATCTTGTATGCTATTGGAGGCATGTGCCTCTATATTGGAGGTGTATGCCTCAAACATCTCTATGCCTCCACTGTACTCATCCAGGCATTTTCTTAGCACCTCACCTCCATGCATATCCCTCCAACACATTTTAAAACACTGGTTTATATGTATTACGATCTCATGTTGTCATTATTCATATATAAATAAATCATAAATCTATTTAACTGAAGGTGGGCCTTAGGCTCAATGGTTGGGTTGCTCCATTGCAATCTGGTTGACCAGGGTTCAAATCTTGGAAACTGCCCCTCTGTATGTGCAGGGGTGAAGTTGTGTACATCTGTCTCTCCCCAGAGCCCACATTGGCAGGAGTGTTGTGCACTGGGCTGCTCTTTATAAATCTAATTAACTCGTGTGTGTTTGTATGCTTATTAGCATCCAAAATTTCATCTTTGCTGAGTCACCGGATACTCTTGGATAGGTACCAAGAAATTGTGTTGGGTTCTACATATGTTCAGGCCTTTTGTTTAACCAAAACCTGTAATTAACTTGTGTTTGTTTGTTGTTGGATCCTCTCTCCATCAGTGATGAACTTCTTTTGCAAGAGGATGGCTCTGATTTAAGCTCTGTAACATCTGAGTTCAGCAATGGATTGCACCTTTGTCATGCTTCAGATTCTGCAGTTCCAATGACTGGAGTTGGAAGATTCAGCCACAATCCTAACCAGGCGCAGACAAGCTCAAGCTTGTCTATCCAAAGGTAACTGTGTCATCCTCGTCTTTATTCTGGCTCTTGAAGGTGCCTCTCACCCAAATTTATACATTTAATATTGCTTTTAACAAATAGTTGCATATATGTTGCTTACCTGCATGTTGTGTAAAATATTCAAATACTGAATGTAACACTGTATCAACTTGCAGTAGATTAGAAGTTCTCAATTTTGTCAATTTCTGAGTAGAGTTCATTTTTTTCTAGTGTATATTCATGCTTTTCTGCAATGCATACAGAACAAATGGACCTGTCCGATCATATTCACATGTAGAAATGGGAAGCCCACTTTCAGCCCATGATATGTATGCTGGGTACCCACGTGCATTATCAAAGCCTTCACATCTCATGTCTCATTTCTCCTTAAACCATCCAAGTAGATTGGGGCAGCAACCTGCCCAGCGATTGAACCCTGGGCACTCAACATTTGCTCACGGCACCGAGTGGGGTCATCCTAAGGTTCAGGCCCCTCTACCCAACTGTAACACAGGGACTTCAAACTCTCCTAGCAATAGCACATTTACCGATGGGATGAATTGGGGTAAGAACTCTTACCCTTTAACTCCCATACTAGGAATTTTAATTATAGAGTTTATTGTTCTTTGAGATTTTTTTAATCTTCACTTTTTTTTTTTTAATTTTTGTGAGCATGGACTTCTTATGCCATTTTGGATGATACCGACTTCTATTGTAGGACGGAGGGCTCTGCATCCCATCACCACAATTCCACCATTGTCCTATGCAAGAAAGGAGTATGGAAGAATTACTTGATGTGGAAAATCAGTTCCCTTCCTAGTATGAATAATGAATATCGTTTTGGCAGGGAAATCTGTATTTGCTGGTTCCAGTTGCATTGTCAGCTTGTGCTATCAATGCAAATCTTCTTTTGGATCATTGTGGTTCATTGTGTTTTCATAATTATAATTTATGATTTATAAGGCATCCATATCTTGTTGGAATTTCAGTTGTGGTTGGTGTACATCCAATTAATTCTTCAAGGGCCTTAGCCACCACAGTGCCAGATTTGTACTCAAAGTTCTATATTAATTTTTTGCGTGACCTTCTTCTTTCTCAACGAAATGCGGTGTATCTAACATTTTCACCAAGTCCCTGCGGCTGGACAGAAATTTTTATTGGTTTCAGGTTCAATGCCAAGTGGTAAGGGCTATGTGCCAAGTATTGCACCAACAAATTCATATTGCTTGGCTGTTGGAAGTTGTCGTGCCAATGAAGGTTTTGGATGCACGTTTTGTTGAATTTTGACTGCAGATCTCCAGGTTCCCTGGTTTATTTTCTTCACTGGACCAGCCTACTTTGTGATGGAGTTGGGTCTTCTATATCCTTTGGCTAAGCATAGGGCTTTGAGTTTGAAAATGAAGCTTATTATTGGACCGTCAAATCATTTCCTTCTCACTAAGCTCGATGTAGCTCTGCTTCAATTGCACTATTTATAAAAGTTATGATTTGTTCCATTAGAGTATTGAGCACCTTGAGTTTATCACTTTTTTAGATGTATATGTTTGAACGGGGGTATGAATGAATTTATATATGTGCAGCGGGACTTTTATCATCTTCTATGGGAATGTAGTGCGGAAGACACTGTTTGCACTTTGCAGTGCGTTTCATTTGCACTGGTGTAAATGTGTAAGAGTGCAAATAGGATGAGTGTAAACTCTGGTTACCATGATTTTTCAGTATTTCTCTTAAATTTATCGTAAGTTTTCAAAACGTCCAGTAACCCCATGTCAGTAAGCTTTTATTTTTCAAAACTCACCAATCCGTAACATTATCGATAATGTTCATCAGCAGAAATTGTCCATGTCGGCATAAATGCAATTTTCATAACCAAAATACCCCTAAATGCAAGGTTCAAAATATCGATACGCCTGATATGCTGGTAGGGGCGTATCGGGTGTTTTGATACCTTTTTATTTACTTTTTTTTCAAAATCGGTTCAGGGGGATCAGTTTAAGACTCCACCCCCTGAATTGGTCAGACCCCCGATACACTCACTATAGGGGAGTATTGGAGGGGTCCCAGGGTTGATATGGGCCAATACTTCGAACTTTGCCTGTTTATGGGTAATTAATGTTCATCGTCCCAAATAGCAATCAGCGATCTTCCCCTTTCTCTCTCTCCCTATGATGTAGTCTCCACACCTTATATAAGAGAATTGAGGTAAGAGAATGGTGATGCAAATTTTGCATCAATTTCTGGGATAAAGAATTTTACTTTGCTAAGTGAGTGCAAATAAGACAAGGCAGAAATATTGTATTAGATAAGCATCCAATTATGAACAAATGCCGAAACAGGAGCAAAATTTTGTTATGTTTGGTACCATTGCCATTTCTATTTGCAACCTTTTGTGTTGTTCAATACAAATTTTTGATAAATTGTCTTGATACCATCAAATAATCATTTATACTAAGGGGAAATTCTGTTTTTATTGGATTTTGAGGGGAAAAAGTTGGTCAATGGGATTTTAGTTCCCATTAACCAAGAATCCCATATTCTTTTTTCAAATTTATGTGACGACCAGGAAAAGTTTATTTTCTTGGGTCTCATCTCCTAGGTGGATAAATTAACTTTCCTACCTATGGGGAAAGTTGCCAATACTTAAATGGGATAAAAAACCCTTTTTAATAATAAATTTTTATGACTAAAATGTCATTGTTTTATTTACATGAGAAATAAAAGAATATGGTTAAGTGCACTTATCCGGATAAATGTTAAACGGTTCATAAAAAAATATAAACATTAAATTAGGTATTAACATTTATAACAGAAACACCAAATTTGCTGTTCTGTGAAGAATCAACAATAGTACCGAGAACGTTGCTAGTATTGGTGGCAATAGACCAAACACAAGCTTTGCATCCACTTTGGATTTACACTGCAAATGGAGCAGAAAAAATCTATATTGGGTTGCCAATTAATTGAGCATTTTTTCTGATGGGTGATCTGGCTTGCATTAATTGAGCGTGACAGCATGTATGATGATTCGTGATGGCACAAAACGAAGCAAAAACAAGATGATGAGAAGATAACACCACACAAGTTAACGTGGTTCGGCCTTTGGCCTACGTCCACGGAGGAGAAGGTAGAAATCCACTAAATAAAAGTTGGAATACAGAGTTAAATAACATCTCAAAGCCAAAAAAAAAAGATCTGTGTTGTAGAGACAAAGTAAATCCACTGGACCACTGCAAAAAAAACTACATAATAGACCCATTATACAAAGCGGATTGGAATCAACCACAAACCTTAATGAAAATTTCCATTTGAGTTCTTCCCCACAAGCTTTGGGTTGAATCTTGAAGCAGGCTACAAACTGGAATTCAAGTCACAACTCAACAAAAAAAGTAGATTAAGCTGGTTTAGCTGACGATAGGAAGTTCACATCTAGTAGAAAGCAAGAAATGATTAACTATTCAATCTAATGCAAAAGAGTATAGCATTGTAACACATGGGGTACAGTGTAAGGGTTGTTAAAAGACTTTGTATTAGGGGATGACTAACGGGGAATCTAACCTATAGTTTTAGTCAACACAAATGATATATTTGGGTCGGTTGCTGAGGCAAAACCTCCTATGGACTATGCTTGGGACATTTTGTAAGATTTTTTTTAGCAGATGTTAATGAAGTAGACAATTACCAATCAAAATAATTGCTATCCAAGAAGATAGACAAGCCAATTCACATGGGAATAAGGAAATAACATAAGAACACTTCCTTTTCGATTCAACTTCTTTATCTTTTTTAAGCCTAAACTAAACCTACTCCTCTAAAGTAAACTGTAGTCACAAAAGATGAAATAAGGATATGGATAAAGCAACTTGGCATTTTCGTTGATTGATAATGAACTTCAATACAACCTGGTGATGAAAGTTTGCCCAGATCATCTAAAAATTTGATAAACATACTGAGATAGTATAGAGAAATCCTCAATTATCACACAGGACATAAATAGGAATCTGAATTGCCACAAGAACTCACTTATTCATTATATCCATGTATAGTTTAAATCAAACTTCTGAATCCTGAAAATGTACAACAGAATTTGTCATATATCTATCCCCACGTAAAAGGAATAAAGCATCAATAAATTCAGAAAGTGACATCGAAACCAAGACAAAACACTGATTAAAAGTTTATTAAATCAGATAAGAATCCAATGAGTAGTCTAATGCAAACCCAACCATGATCTTGGCTCTGATACAATCTAATGCAAAGAAACTATGACCTTAAAATAAACAGGACTCCCAAAAACCAACAAAATAGGGATCAAACTCAGACAAAATGGAGGGCCAGCAAAGTCGATACCTTCAAGGATTTTTTGTAACCGCAAAATTTACTCCCGGTGGAGGGGCCACCTAAAATTTTACTAAAATCATAGAAGAAACCAAATGAGGGGATGTAAAAGCCTTACCCCAGGCGTATGTCAGCTCATATGCATGTCTGACAAACCACAAGAACCAATTAATAAACTCTGATACAAGGAAACTATAGTACCTTCTAGGATTTTTATTTAACTTAAAAAAGCAATAGTTGGCAGACACATTAAATTGGTTTCACAATAATAGAGAGGCTTAAAAAAAGGTATGAAAATTGGGTATAATTATATAATTATATCAATAATAGGCAAAGATGATCATTGATGGAACAAACATCAAACTCAAATTCAACCTCCCTCCAATAAAAACTGTAACCACAGATGTTAACCAGCAGACATGAACAATGCAGAAACTCAATATCCAATCGCCAAACAAAAATAAATGATAGAGATTGGTTGAAATTAAATCTGCTAAAATTAGCAAAAGGCAAATTGTACCAAGAAAAAACAACTAAGAACCTCCCAACAAACCAACACACTTTCTACCAAATTTGCCCAGTCCACCTGAAAACTTGATAAATGGATTAAAAAACCACTCAATCATGTATAAAACAAGACTAAGAAACTCAATAGCACCATGAAAATCCCCTATGGATTAGTTATCACTATCTGGATCATATCAGCCTTCTGAACCTGAAAATTAACAATAGAACCTGCAATTTGTCTGATAGGATTAAGGAGTGGAAAAATTCCGGAAAGAAAAAAGTCTCAACATTTGCTTGGCAATCATTATACAAGAGAATAATCCAAACTAAATGTATTGGGGAAACACTTACATCTCAGAACCCTCAAAAGCCAAGCACTGACTCATCAGATCTACAAAGCAATAATCAATCCACTGCTAATCAAAATGAGAAGAGAAATATCAGCACTCTCAAAAGTAAAAGACCATGTACCATTTCATTGTTTCTGTAGAGCAATAATAATTTTCTGCTTCCAATCAAAAAGGAAAGAGAAACTCTTGAATTCGAAACCAACAAAAGACAGGTCAAACCCACAGTTGAGGGGTTGCAAGCCACTGCCTTATAGAATTTTGTTGCAATTGGAATATTGAGATTAGGTAGTGAAACTGACTGGCAGATGAATAGGCTGTGGATGACTGGATTGACAACTGAGATTAGATAGCCACATCACATTTCATCCCATATAAGAACTTCTATTGTACCTGGATAATGTGCAACAGTGAGGCTTAAGTTGCTTCAAAGTGGCTGTCAGGATAGAGGTGATACAAGATACTTCCTCCAATAAAGTATGCATCTAGAGGAGCTTTTCTATGACTACTTTGATATACTTTATATGCCATAATAGCTAAATTATCCTCAATAACAATAAATTTGTATTAATTCAGAACAACTCCATATCCAGAAGCTTACAAGAAAACCGTACAATAAGCATGAAGCTCACAATTCAATGAATCTGTTAGTATTAACTCAGATTTACATTAGTGCCTGGACCAAGAATCCCCCATAAAAGTCGTTACCTAGTCAAATCAGTCTTGAGCCAAAAGATCAGATATTGAGGTAGATGATCAAGGTGTCCATTTGAACAAGCAGTTCAGATTAGATGGCAATGCAATGGATTCTTTGATCATCTGTCGAAGCATTCCAGGTACCCACATTTTTTTCCTCTAGCCAGCTCAAAACCACCTTACGGTCCCCTTATTCATCAGATTGGACCATCCTAGTGATTAGGCTAATTTGACAACCATGTCATCAGTAAAAATCCATAAAAAGCTTGAAATAGTGATAACCTACCTGAAAATTTGATGAATAAGAGGCTGCACAGAACCATACAAAGATGACAATAACAATTTAATTAGATATCTGCATAGCCGTAAAAAAACTCTTCTCCAATATCACTATCTATATTAGTCTTTTTTTTGCTCAATGGCTCAAGTAAACCTTCTGCATCCTACATAATCTACAACAGACCTACTATAACCTACTGAGTAAGTTAACAGACTGAGGTACCATATGGAAATTCTGAATTATTATGCATAAAACTTAAATAGAATCTGAAAGCCACAAAAACCCACTTATGCATCGATCATCTATATAGCCATGTCCAGATCAAATCAACCTTCTGAATAAGTTCAGGAATAAACCAAAGATACAACTAGAGGGCACAGACGAGCAGACACTCAGATAATATCCAATCTTTACCACCCACTTTACTGCAGATATAAATAAATGACTGTGATTGCTTGAAATTAAATCCGCTCTAATTGGTAAAAAATACTCCAAAAACTCTAAAAAACCTGAAATGTATTGTACCCAATAAAAAAACCCAGTCCACCTAAAAAATCAACTAATATATTTAGACTATGTTTGGTTTGAAGGAAAAGGTAGGGAAAGGAAGGCAAAGGAAGGGAAACCTTTACAAATCTTGTATAGGTTTCCCTGCATTTCCCTTCCATTCCCTACTCTTTCCTTCAAACCAAACAGCTATGTAGTTCTCAACCATCATGCATAAAATTTAAATAGAAATCTGAACAGCCATGAGAATCACCTAATGAATTCGGCATATATAAGCCATGTCAAGTCCAAATCAACGTGTCGAATCCCAATTACAATACAAGAACCTGTAGTTTGTCTATATAAACCAGAAAATTCATCCAAAAATCTCAGTCAATAACAAGCAAGCAACTCAAAAATCCAAAACTGATGTTAAAACTGCTCAATCCGAGTGAAATCATAAGAAATATCAAAACTAAATGTCAAATAAGAAAAGAATCCTAACTGAAAGTCTATCATATCTCACAATCTTCAAAAACCATGTACAACTCCATAGATGTGTAGTGCAGTAATCATTCACTGCTAATTAAAACAAAAGAGAACATGTTTTGATGATGACACAAGGCAAAAAAATGATTCATCTATATCAACACTCTCAATAACCATGAACCAACTCACCAACTAAAGACAAGTGAAACCAACAAAAGAGGATCTGAAAACCATTGCCTTCTAGGATTCCGATGCATTGGACTATTGAGATCTGATGGTGAAATAGACCATAAGTGAACAGGCACACAAGTGAAACCCACAGTAGAGGAGCTGCAAACCATTGTCTTCTAGGATTTATATGCATTGGACTGTTGAGATCAGATAGTGAGACTGACCATAAGTGAACAGGCTGTGGAAGGAAGACTAGGTTGATTAAGTGGTGCAATTGATCAGACAGCCACATCATATTTCATCACATACAAGAACTTCCATTGCAATTGGACAGCATGCAACAATGATGGAGGGCTGCAATACTTCTCTGATAACATGTGGAGCTATAGATTTTCCATGACTATTTTGACTAACTTTATATCCTATAACAACTATATTGTCCTTGATGAAAAATACCAATCATGATAGTAAAATCTTGGGCTGACAAGCATGAGAATGCATGTTTCACGTCTGTGATAAGCCACCTCATGCCAAAAAAGAAACGTAACACTTGCATAACATAGTTCTGAAAATGAATATATATAACATGTCCAATTATACTGCTAAAAATACACAGATAAACTATTAAAAAATTCTTGCCTGATTAATTTAGTTAATCCTCATTAAAACATTAGAGCTAGGGATGCCAAGGTGAATCCCCTTATGCAATACCTATCCATATGCCTGTGTCCAATAGAAATCAAACTTCATGCCATGAGAGAAACATGGTTCAGAATTTATGTACATCCAATCCCCTGTCAAATTACAATTATCCATCAACTGCTCACAACCCAAGCACAAAAAGGCTACTTTTTATGTCATATAATTAGGTTCCTTTCGGTTAAAACTTGCTAAGAATAAACATACACAAAAAATATCCCTGTATGGATGAATTTTCATACCATTTCTTGTTTAATACAAGACACCTTTCATCACTTCAATATCCAGAGAATCCATAACGGATTTACCATGTGTATCCCAAGTAATCTTTGGGAGAACTATAGGATAAACCAAGAGAGAATCATATGATAATGGCAAAACTAATTAAATATAAGGGAACTTGCACTTCCCATAGGACCAACCATGGCAATCCAATTATTTGGTGCTGCTTAGGTAATGAGAAGCAGAAAAAAGTCGAATGGTAACAAAGATTGAACAACATTGAACGAGAACTTCAATCTCTCATTTCAAGCTTTAGATGCTTTAGGATCCACAACAACAGAAGAAGCCCATTGAACCAGCCATCAAGAAATTGAAGGGAGATGGAGAACATGAGGAAAAAATGATAAAACTCATTGTATGTCAGATTAATGTGAGCATAGATATTTCTTAAGAACGGAATTTCTTGATCATTGTTTGTAAAACAGATCAAAGCATAAAAATAGAAATTCCCAATATCCCTGTAGAACAACAAAACCAAAACGGTTATTCAAAGCTGATCCAAAACTGACTAATAAAAAGATATAATAACTAGGACCAAATGCTGACTCATGAATTGTATATAATAATAGAAGAATCAATACTCATTGACATGGAAGCCCCCCCACCATCAGGTCCTTAGGAAACCAACCTTGACAACATCATTTTTAGAACAGCAACCGGTCTATCTCATGTCAAAAATAAAACCAAACATGTCTTGATTCAACCTAAGACAAAAATATAATAAGGAAAGTTTTCAAAATCACAAAATGACATATTGGATCAAATCCAAGCAAATGGAAGATTCAAGAATCAAAATGGATCAAATCACCTAAGATATGCCACAGTTGATGGAGTTCTGATGCAATCTCAACCCAGCAATACATGAACATGGAAGGAACTTAAATATGCCCATAATTGACAATATAATGGAAATTGGGAAAGATTCAAAGATCCAAACTGGAGTCAAAATTAAACCTTTGCAGAACAGACTGGAACCACAAACGGTAATGTGAACTGCACCAAAAAAAGCAGAAAGAATCCCACAAAGCTCATATAAAAACCACGAGTAAGAATGAATTTCAACATCATCTTTAATGAATCTCTACCATTTAGAGGCATCCATTAGAACCATTTTAATCCAATGTAAACAGCACTAAGAAGCAGCAACTACCAAGAACCAACACTTGGCATCAAGAAGCCTTGTGCACTGTCCATACTGATATCCTATAAAAAACCATAGTTAATAATACCAAAAAAAATACGGAAATGCTAGAATCTGTATGATCAAGTAAACTACCTCAAGTAGTATGGCTTATCAAAGCAGAAATGTCAAATAAAACCCAACTTCCAACCAATCTCAAAAATGAAATAACACACTTGAGAGGCATGGATTAAATAATCGTCTGCCCGTTGTTTTTAAATTCCCTACCTACACAAAACAATCTGTAATACCATGAAAACCCTCTTCTGCAATATTCATTATCTGTGTAGCCACAAAAATCCTCGTCCATGATAGTCATTATCTGTATAGAGACTTTTGGCGCAAAACATCGGCGGAAAGGATTACCGACTGGAAAAATTGATGAATGGAAGAATCACCCAAAGGTCATAATACCAATTTAGTTAAAGATCTGTATAGCAATGAAAACCCACTTCTCTGTACCCACAAAAATCCTCTTTGCAATATCATTATCTGTATAGCCATGAAAACCCTCTTCTGTGTGGCCATGAAAATTTGATGAATGGAAGAACACACGAAGATCATCATACCAACTAGTTAGAGATTCGTGTAGCCATATAAACCCCCTTCTAAAATAGTCATTATCTGTATAGTCTTCATTATCATTAACGTTGGTCTAACTAACAAAAAGAAAATGGTATACTTCAAAACCTCTAATCAACCTGAAAGGTCTTGCACCAAAAGTTGTCCATTCCACCAGAAAAATCAATTAATAGTTTGAGATACTATGTAAATTTTCACAGATATTATGCATTAAACTTGATCCCTGAATAGACATGCGAACACCTTACAAATAAAACCAACCTTCTGAATCCCAAATACTAAACCAGAAAATTTTTCCAGAGATCACAATCAACAACAAGCAACCCAACTCAAGGATCCAACACTGATATTAAACCAGATCAATCCAAGAGAAATCAAGACTAAACATTAAACTACCTCAACATCAGATTAGAGAAAATCCACAAACTCAAAGTATAGCATATCTCAGAATCCTCAGAAACCATTCAACTCCACAAATGTGCAGAGCAATAATCATTCTGCTGCCAATCAAAACATAAATAGAGCATGTCTTGATGATGATACAATATAATAAAAAGAAGTGATTCATCTATATCTATATCAGCACTCTCAATAACCATTCACCATATCTACAAAACAATAACCATTCTGCTGCCGGTAAAAATGGAATGAGTAAAGGTCCTTATTGTGATGCAACCATATGCAAATAACTAATCATCCTGATCAAAAGAGATTCCCAAAATTAACTGAAGACAAATGCAACCCACAATAAGGGATTTCAAAGTCATTGCCTTCCAGGATTTAAGCACTTTGACCGTTGTGATTGAGATTAGATGATGAGACTGATTGTAAGTGAACAAGCTGTGGAAGAATGACTAAGTTGATCAAGCAATGCAATTGCTTAATAACTGCATCATTTTTCATCCCATACAATAACTTTCCTTGAAATTGGACAGAGTGAAATGACAATGTTAATTTTGCATTGCATTTGAAATCAAGATAGAGCGGAGCAAGACTTCTCCTCCGATAACATGTCCATCTAGAGCTTTTCCATGACTATTTTGCCCTATTTTATATACTATAATAACTACATTGTCCCAGATGAGAATCACGAATCGTGATAGTAAAATCATGGGAATGCAGGTTTCAGTCCAGCAGGAGCCACTTCATACCAAAATTCAATAGCTTAGGTCTGGCATTCAGTCCACCCTTATCAAAACCGCAAAACCACAAATAGTCAGGAGCAAAATTGGTAAATGGCCTTTTTTATACTGACATGAACAAGGCAATTCACCTAAAACAACATGATATACTTGCAAAACATAGTTCTGAAAATGGATATATATCACATCAAAATAGTACATTGTCAAAAGTTCACAGACACACCATTGAAAAATACTTGTCAGATTAATTTAGCTCACCTTTGTTAAAACATAACCAATAGAGCTAGGGATGCCAAGGTGATGCTATCCATATTCCTACATCCAACAGAAACCAACCTTCATGTCATGAGAGAAACATGGTTCCACATTTTTATACATCCAATTACAATTCTCCATCAACTGTTTACAACTCTAGCAGAAAGGCTAGTTTTTATATCATAGAATTAGGTTTTTTTTTCAGATAAAACTTGGTGAGAATAAGCATACTCTAAAATACCCCTGTATGGATGGCTTTTATATCTTGTTGTCCTTCAAAACAAGTCACCTTTCATCACTTCAATATCCTGAGAATCCATACCATGAGTATGTAAAGTAATAATTAGGAGAACTATATGATAACCAAGAGAGAATCATACGAGAATGGCAAAACTCAAAATAATGGAACTTGCACTTTCCCGAAGGTCCAACCATGGCTATTCAATTATTTGATATTGATTTATTAAATGGGAATCAGCACAAAACCAGTTTTGAGATGTGATGGGAACTTCAATCTCTCATGTCAAGCTTCAAATGCTTTAGAATCTACGACAACATAAGAAGGTTAATAAGAGGAGAATCGTGTTGGATTCTAATCAAGCCAATAAAGCAGGACAGCTAGTGGACATGAAAACGAGTAGGGCCAATATGGAGTCTAGTTTTCATCAGTAGGGTGTCTTAGTTGTATGAGAGATGGATAGGGGTTAATGATTTTGGGAAACCATTGTATGTTAGGTGAGTGAAAGGTTGGAGTTGAAGATTGAGGGTGGATGAGGCTGTTGCTACTTTTGATTCTGATTGGTGACACAAGGATTTTCTATTTTGGCTTGGAGTTTTTTGCTTTCTATTGTGGGTGTTTTGGATTTTTTTATTTGTATGAGTAGAGGTGAGACTTTGTTATTGAGTAGTTTTACTTTCTCCTTTGGGTGATTTCATGTCACCTTATCTTATTCTTTCCATTTTCTTTTAATCAATCTTATTTTACTATAAAAAAACCCAGAACTTAGGACATTACCATGGAACCAATCATCAAGAAATTGAAGTGCCAAGGAGAACATATGAGGGAAGAAATGATAAACTCGTTTTGAGCATAGATATTGCCTAATTACAGGATCTCTTTATCAATAATTGTAAGATAGACCAAAGCATAAATACAGAAATTCCCAATACCCCTGCAGAACAACAAAACCAAAATGGTTATTCAAAGCAGATCCAAAACTGACTAACATGACGATATCATAACTAGGACCAAAAACTCATGAATTGTACATTATATAAGAAGAATCCACACTCACGAGTTTTAGAAAAGATACCAGTCCATCTCGAGTCAAAATAAAAACGTCTTGAGTCAATCTTAGACAAAGAAATAACAAAAAAAAAAAAGTTGTCAAAACCACAAAATGACAGACCAAATCAAATCCAAGCAAGGCAGAAAATTCATCAACCAAAATGGATCAAATCACCTAAGATATGACATAGACTGACAGAGTCTAATGCAATCACAACCCAGCAACACATGAACATTCCAGGAACTTAAAAAATCCCATCAGTAACAAGCAAATGGAAATAATAATAAACCAAATACATGTACCAATTTCTAAAGGCGAATGGCAGAGAATAAAGACTGAAAGAACCAAACTAGAATTAAAACCTCTACAGAGTAGATTGGAACCACAAATGATAATGTAGCAAAAAAAGCTGAAGTCATCCACAAAACTCATAAGAAACCATAAGTAAGAACAAGTTTCGACATCTTAATCTCTACCAATTAGAGGCATCCCTAAGAACCATTTAATCCAAAGAAAACAGCACTAAGAAGCAACAACTACCAAGAACCTACACTTGGCATCAAGAAGCCTTTTGCACTGAAATTCACTACCATGTGAAATTTGAACAGACTGATATCCTATAAAAAAAAATCAAAGTGAATAAGAAAAAAATATAGAAATGCTAGAATTCATATGTTCAAGTAAATTATTTCATGTAGTATGACTTATCAAAGCAGCCATATCAAATAAAAAACAACTTTATAAATCCTACCAATACAAAAAAAAAAAAAAAAAAACATAAGATACTTGAGAGGCAATGGAGTGCAGTAGAGACTTCCAACACAATACAACAGTAGCAAGGATGATTGAGATAAAGTTAGAGATCTGTATAGCCATGAAACCCTCCTCTTTCATAGTCATTATCTGTATAACCACGAAAGCCATCTTCGGTAATAGTCATTATATGTATAAGCCACGAAAACCCTCTTTTGCAATAGTCATTATCTGTATAAGCCACAAAAACCCTCTTCTGCAATAGTCATTATGTGTATATCCACAAAAACCCTCTTCTGTATAGCCCTGAAAATTTGATGAATCAAAGAACCACTAAAAGATCCTCATACCAATTAAATAGAGATCTGTATAACCAAGAAAACCCTCTTCTGCAATAGTTATTATCTGTATAGTTTCAATTACCATTACATGAAGATCACAAATATAATGCATTTTAAAACTTTGGATGTCGCAAAACAAACACATTTTCTTGGGCCTTGACCAATTGATTTAATGTAAGATTAGGTTGCAATTCGAAGTCTCCAACAGTGAGAACACCAAAAATAGTTCCTTGAATAAGGGACGGGAACAGCAACTTAAAGCCAACCAAGACCATTCAGAATGAGTTACGACACTTTCTCATTAACTAGGATTCTATGGCATTCCACATAAAACCTTGTTAAATTTCACTAAAAAAGAACTGCCCATCCAAGTCCTGAATGTTCAAGACAGACTTCACCATAACCCATTCAATGTACAAAATGATCAATCAGATATGAAGAGGATAAAAGGTGGAAAGTATAGATGAAAACTAGAAGTTCTATTACAGGGACAGACCTGTCTTAAACAACAAAGAAAAAAATCAAATGGTTAGGACATCAAACTAGTACCCAATCCAATTATCTTCCTCAATATATATTCTATCTTTTCAGAAATAATTAATGCCAATTACAAAGGCTTCAGAAAATAAAAGTCTGGATGACAAAAGCTCCTCACAACCACAAGATCTGAAAATCACAGACCCAAAGCACTTCACATGCTCCTTAAAGCTCTTAGCATTACATAATTGTTCTTATGAAACCTCATTAAATGCATAAATTTGTTATTATTTGGGTTGTCAATCCTTTTTTCTTTATAAAAAGTCACAAAAAACCTAAGCATAAGAAACCAAAAATACATTGAAAAGAGAATATTCTAGCCCCTCAATAGAGAATAATTTTTAATTGGTAAGCACATAATTTTCTTTTTTTTTGATCGGTCACAGAAATTCTTTTGTGAGAAACCAAAGAGAACATCCACAACAAAGGCTTTGTTCATATCCCCACTGTATTGCACAGGAAATACAACCTCCGATTCAACCTCCCACCAAATGAACTGGAATCATAAAAGATTAACTAAAGTGAATGAAAAAGCATAAAGCATGCCAATCTTTGGGATTAGAATTTAGCTTATACAAACTTTACGGCAGAAGGTACTAGGGACATGAATAAATGACTGCATGATTGCTTACAGTTAAATCCACTAATTACAAAAAGGAAGTTGTGTAACAAAATCTTCAAACCTCCATCCAACCTCAACAATCACAGTACCTAATTCGCATCACCCTATAAAAGAATGATAACTGGTTTAGGATCCTAATGTAGAACTTCTGAATGATCATCATGCTTATAAGCTTAAATATGAACTTGTATAGCCGAGAAACACCCGCTTATGAAATAGGCATCTAAATAGACATGTCCAGTTCAAATTAACCTTCTGAATCCTGTAAATTCATGACAAACTTGCATGTATGTATCCGTATAAAAAAAAGAACACTTGAGAAATTCAGGAACAGAAAAGGCTAAGAGATGAGGAGAACTTATTCTTTGTCAAATAGATGATCCATCACCCAATATATGCAGCCAAGGAATACTCAATCTACCTGATGAACAAGAAAACCACCACAAGGATTCAACGCTGATTTAAAAACCGCTAAATCAGAGAGAATCAAAACTTATCCTCAATACAAATTTAAAGATCGCTAAATCAGAGAAGAATCCAACTCTAGTCTAATGCAAACCCATCCATCTCAGGACCCTCTAAAACAATTCACCAAATAAGCACATCTGCAGGACAATAATCATATCACTGCCAATAGATAATCCAAAAATCGAAATCAAACAGGTCTTGAATCAAAGAAAGAAACGATGTTGTTGAACAGACAACATTCCCAAAAATCCAATAAAAGACTGATCAAACCAACTCAAAATAGCATTCCGTGCAACCACTATGGGTCAAATTATCTGAGAAATTCAAAAGCCTGAAAAAATCCTGCATGATCGAGATAATTATCTTCAAACTCGAAAGGAAAGGAAAGGCTCATAGAACTCCAGGACATTTGATAAGGCGGTACAGCCATCGACCAAAAACCAGGAGAGATGGGGAAGGAGCGGAGCCCGCTTGAGTTTCACGCGGGGAAGCAATCCAAAAAGCGGTTAGAAGGGGGTAACTATTTATAGGCACGAGGAAATTAGATGGACGACTGAGATTAAACAATGTAACCGCCTCTTCTGACTCCGTTCCCTGTCGGGAATTTGGTTAGCGACTTAGCGTAAACTGCGAACGGATCGGATCGGATGCGAATGGATTCGAATCGAATTTGGAATGCGATCCGATATCGAATACTGCTTTAAAAAACATAAATAGCATTAGTCTCAAGGATATTTTTGGATTTTTTAGGACAAAATTTATTTTTTATATTTAAATTTATTGATAAAAATGAGGACAAATCGGATAATCAGTTATTAATATTAAATGAGTTGAAAATAAGTCATTTTAAGATATTTAATATATTTATTTTTCTTTCATTAAATTCAACATTTAAGGTATTAACTTGTATTCATCTTCATTGAGTCATAAATTTAAGGCATTTTATTTCTTCTCATCATTAAATTCTATTAATTAAATCCATGCATGAAAAATTAATAATTCCAATAACATAAAATCTTATACTTTTAAAAATTACTTATAAAAAAGTAGTGTTTTCATCTTTGTGGTGGTAAAAAATTATACCATTTTGGATCAAATGGACCAATCCATGTTGTCACAATTAAATAATAAAATTAAAAAATAGATCAAATGCAAAAAATATATATAAATTAAAAATTAAAATATTTTTAATAATATTCGACATATTAAACAATAATAATATGATAAATAAGAAATGCTTTTATTAATGATGAAAATGTAATGTAAAATTTAAAACCAATTAGAAATAAAGCTATTTTCCTATTCTCTCTCATTAAATCTCATGTCTAAGGTACATTCCTTCATTAATTCATATGTTTAAGATATAAATTTTCATCATTAAATTCTATTAATTAAATCCATAACATTAATTTTAATAGTATAAAAATAAATATTTTGAAAAGTAATTTGAAAACAAAACCATTTTCTTCCTTCTTGGTGGTGGATAAGCAATTCGACCATTTGGAGTCAAATGGGCTAATAAATAATGTAATAGTTGAATAATAAGAAATTAAAATATATAAAATATATAATACAAAAAAATAATTAGGTGTGTCTCTAATATTGTATTTTTGTTATACTAAACAAAAATAAGTATGAAATGTAAGAAGTATTTTTGTTAATGATGAAAATGGAATACAAAATTTAATAATAATTGTTATTATAATTTAAAATTTCCATGTGCAATGCATATGCACATTTACTATAAGCATTTAAGTTTATTTTTAACCATATAGTTACTTTTTGTTAATTTTCAATTTCTATCCTAATTATCATTTATCTAAAATTCAATTAATTTTCATTCTCTCTCTCTCTCTCTCTCTCATTTCTTGTTCTCCCCTCACATTCTAAGTAAGGATTTAAATATCGATACGATACATCCGATACAGGGTGAATCTTATCGATATCAGATTAGGGCGATACAGGATGCATTATGAATGGAAACGTATCCTATAAATAGCGTGTATCGGACCGATATGAGTGCGCATCGGCTTGTATCGCATTGTATTGACCGTTACGCACTAATACCGACCGACACGTAGTGTCTTTGATTAAAAATGAAAACACTACTAATAGCATAATTTGAATCCAAAACACTACGCGCATGGTGCCAAGAACCTTTAATTCTTCATCCAACCACTTGACCATGCCATGCATTGTGATATTTAATGAAATAACACAATTTTTATTAATGTCTATCCAAATAAATAATCAATATTTATGTTTAACAACCCCAATTAAAAATTAAAATAAATATTATTTAAAATTAGTATTTTATACCAAATAGAATAAATAATCTATCAATTGTATATTTACATCAAAAGATGATTTTAATCTCAAGAAATTTATACAAATAAAATATTAATAGTAGAATAATTACCTTACTACTTAAAATTTATTAATTTGCACATGATATATATCTTACAAATTTGATATATTTTTATAATTATTAATTAATATTTTAATTTACATTAAATGACAATATATTTATTATTTACAAAAAATAAAAATCTGTTTACAAAATATTCAAGAATATAATATTAAATTGAATTTATCAAATCCACTAATTTACATTTATATGAAAAATTGATTTTTAATTTCAAAAAAAATTACAAATAATTATTTTAATAATTAAGAATTATGAATATGCATATGATATATATCTTAGAAGTTTTAACCAATTTTATATATTTTAAGCTAAAATTATATATTTTAAGCTAAAATTATATATTTTTGTAAATTATTAAATGATAATTTAATTTATATTTGGGAATTTAATATTTGGTTAACTTTTTTTGTTAATGTTAAAATGTAAAAATAATAAAATAGAAAATAATTGATATAATAATTAGGAAAAATATAATAACTCCATCTTGGACTCTTAATTAATGCATTGTATGATATCTGTGCATTCTACTATTAATTATTTATATATTTTATGCACACCATTAAATATATATTTCTTATATATTTATACATTATTTGTGGTTATTTGACCATAGATTTAGTGTTATTAATGTATTTATGAAATTTGCATGTGCTTCTCTATTGTATCCAAGTTTTTCATATTTTTTGTTCGTATCCATGTGTTTCTAAAAGATATTTGTATCCAAATCCAAATTGTCCATACAATACTCGATACCTATACTTTAATCCTTGATTCTAAGAGCTTTACTAGGATTAAGGCTGTCTCATAGCGCTTGGCGGATCCAAACCTTAGAAGAGCAACCAACAGAAAGGAACTTCATGATGGCCTCCACTCGGTGCCGTAGACGTTCCTGAACCAGTAAAACCTTCTTCCCAAGTCTTATTAGACAATGTTATTGGTAGGGCTGAAGCTATGCTGGATGCACTTGAGAGAGACAAAACCTCTGTAACTTCTGATACAGTTAGCGCACATTATATCTTAAAGCAAAGCTTCATGTATAAACCAGAAAGAATCCAAAAACATTAAGGCCCCGTTCGCTTTTCGGTAAGTTACTTATCCAAGTAAAAAAGAAAATGACCATTTTAGCCATAAAAATCCATTATTAAATTGAGAATTTTTGTCCCATTTAAGTGTTGGAATTCCCCCCCCCCCCCAAGGTGAAAAAGTTATTTACCCACCTAGGAGATGGGTATCACTTACCCAGGAAAATAAACTTTCCCTGGTCCTCACATTAATCTGAAAAAAGAACATGATATTCTTGGTCAATGGGAACCAAAATCCCATTGTCCAACTTCCTGCTCTCAAAATCCAAAAAAAGAACGCCCCCAATGGAGTAACTGTTGTTTTATTGGGAAATGTTGGAGAAAGGATTCTTTCCTGACAATTTCAAGATCCCTTTTCTTCTTCTCAAGGCATGCACAAAATTTCAGTCATTGAGAGATGGGGAAGGGATTATTGCAGGGTGTTTAGTTATGTGGGCGTTTATTCAATAAACGCTACCACATAGGTGCTAGTTCAGCAGTTTTCCTCTCTTGCTCTTTCATATGCATCGAGAATGATAAAAGTGGATTTTGGTTTTTGTGCACGTCTACCATTTGGGGAATTTATTTTTTAAAACTTCCACAAACGGTCAGGTGTTTTTTCACTGTTATGCTGATGTGGAGTCTAGTGACACCTAGTGGCACCTACTTGTCATAAACGGTTGTAAGTATTACTTTTTTCGGTTTTGAAAGAAAATAAAGTACAAAATTTGAATGGAAAAACGTAAACAGAATTAAACACATACTTGATGTGTTTGGTTCCACGAGCATTTATGGATAGGCCATTTATTTGTATTTTTTCATTTTAAACATTTATTTATACTTTTTTACTTTAAACATTTTATGTTTTTGTTATTTGGTTGGGCTTCACTTTAAACGTTTTTTGCTCTCTATCTCAGATTAATACCCATTAAAATGTGCCACATCAGCATTTGGTTTCAAGAAACGCTGGGGTGTGGGGGGAAACAAGAATTTGACGTTTTCACAAATGCCCCATACACAAAAACCAAAGCATTTTAGTTTTCTATCTTTTATTTGATCAATAGTGAAACCAAACAGTTATTTCATTTTGCTTTATATGCAATAAACATCAATGCCTATATAGCACTGATGTGGTGGTGTTTTTTCATGCCCACGAAACCAAACGGGTGGTATCATATGTTTATGTAAAGAACACTGATGAGAATGTACATTATTTGTGGGGTAACTGGCACTGCTTAGAAATTGCTCAATGAAAATTGTCATCGAGATTTGGTTTCATGGACCACACTGATTCAAGGCTAAGCGGAGAATGGGTGGTTTGTAGCCTATTCGATTGAATGAGAGAGAGAAAGGGAGAGACCTCATCAAATGGTAAGTGAGACCAGTGACAGAAATTTTTGTCTCTAGGGGACAAACGATAGTGTTGTTCAAGGGTTGTAGGCATGCAATCAAAGATATCCCTCTCGTGGGATATCTTTTATACCCTTTTCCAAATAAAGAAATAGAGAGTGATTTTAATCTAAAAACACTTTCATTCTTCATCTGCACTTTTATATATAATATAGATTATCTATATATTTATATATATTTTATATATTATAAATGAATATATATGCATTATATATAAATATGTACAATATATAATATATTATTTATTATTTATAATATAATATTATATATTTATTTATGATATATAATATAAAAATAAAAAACTGATGAATTGAACTAGCGATTAATCAAATCAACTGGTTAACCGATTGACTTTGGCTCGATTTCAACTTTACCGCTTTCCCAAAAACTTATATTACCAATTTAATTTGCAAAATAGGCCCATGATTCAGTTAACCAAGCTGTGAGCACCCCTAATTTTGTCCCCTTCACCAATCTAACTGAACAACATGGTGGATTCGGTGCATCATAGGCCCATTGTTGATTGGAAGCTTCATCACATGGAGCGATTAACTGAACGCACGATATTCATGAGGTA